AACATACAGGGTGCCCATTATGTATGGAATATAGTATATATCTTTGTAGGTATCAACTTTATAGAAAAACATTTTATACAAAACTTGTTTAATATTTTATTTGCCATAATAAGACTGCAGTCAATTGTTTTTAATTCAGAAAACAAATGAGTAAAGAATAATACTTAAATTTTTTTAAATAGCAATGTATTCTTTCTTTAGGCTCATTTGATAGAGATTATTTTTCTCTTTACGATGGCGTAAAATTTTTGTATCCTTACATCAGAAAATTTTTGAGAAAAATGGAAAAATTGTTTATTAATAAAAATTAATCAATAACATTAATCTAGATATCCGAGATCGTCAAGTACCTCGAATTATTACTGTAAATTAAATTTACATACAAAATAAAACAAATAAACGAAAAATTAGTGTACATCTCCAATAATTCGAGGTACTTGACGACTCGGATATCTAGATTAATGTTATTAGTTAAATTTTCTTAATAAACAATTATTACATTTGTTTCAAAAATTTTCTGATATAAGGGTACTAAAATTTTACGTCATCGTAAAGAGAAAAAAAATCTCTATCAAATGAGCCTAACGAAAGGGTACATTGCCATTTAAAAAACTTCAAGTGTTATTCGTTGCTCATTTGTTTTCTGAAATAAAAACAATTGAATGCTGTCTTATTATGGCAAATAAAATATTAAACAACTTTTGTATAAAATGTTTTTTTTGTAAAGTTGATACCTACCAAGATATATACGATATTCCATACATAATGGGCATCTGTATATAACTATTATAATGTAGTGTGATAAATAATTCATTTTCACCTGCAAGTTTGTTATTATTCGATGTGGGGTTCCGTGGTGTAGTGGCTATCACGTCTGCTTTACACGCAGAAGGTCTCCGGTTCGAGCCCGGACGGAACCAGTGTTTTTTAATTTTTTTTTTGTTAAATTTAATTAAATTAAATTTTCTTCCTAAGTAAAAATATATTATAAAATTCCACTTAATTTAAATTTCACTTGATTCTTTTTAATCTTTCTATGAATGATTAAAATATAAGGTTAAAAAGTAAATTAAATTTTGGATTTTTAATAAAAATAAATTAAAAGAAGTGCTTTAAATTTTGAAATAAAAAAAGCCATGCATGACACGGTCATGTATCATACAAATTCTATGCTATAATAAGAATATTTTGAAAACGTTCGTTTGACGTAAAAAATAATTCAAATGAAACTTGCTCTGCACAAATTTGAATAAAATCATATATTTATAAAAGACAACAGGACAAAAACACGAAAAATTTAACCTACAGAACCTCAAAGATCACAGCAGAAATAGAGCGTACAAAGAGCACTGGAAATAGAAGCTTGGAAATAGACAAAAAAGTGAAAATAACACATGTAGAAATATGTGTGAGGCCGTAGAAGAAGCTCTAGGATTTCAAAAAAAAACACAACAGCATATAGAACCACACAAACAGAGGAGGAGTACAAACCACGGAGGAGGAAAGAAAAGAGGACCCACCCTCCTCATAGACGGTAAAAAAGACAAGCCATAAACGTTGAACTGAAGAAATTACAGAAATTAAGAACACAGTCGGATACAACAAAATTCTACCAGAATCTATAGGAATAGGAAAGAATTTTAACTTAGAACAACAATTTGCAGGGACAAAAAGGCACCAATTCTGACAGAAGAAGGTGAAATTTTGGAAAGATGGATGGTTTACTATGAAGAAAAGCACACAGGAAGTGAACAAGAAGAATGGAAGTTTTGCCAAACTCATCAGGCAACAGAGGACAATACCGCCAATGTATAGTGAAATGATGGCAGCAATGAACAAACTAAAAGACAATTAAACACAAGAATTGGATGAAAACTTGTCACAAGCGTATGGACGCTTGCCAAAAAATTCAGCTTGATTCAATTTGGTTTCTGCAGGTAGTGTTACAATTATTTGTAATATGACAAAATCTCGAGAAGAAAATTTAATATCGAAACTGACCATTTTTTATATCGATTTTGAGATTGCCTATAGCAGCATCTCCAGGAAATTTTTAATGAATGCCGTATAACAGCAAGATTCAGAATAAATAAAGTCGCCTGTATTTATACAGCCTTGGCGTATTGAAAATTGGCTACCTCGTAATATTTTCATTAAATGCTGCTGCTAATTGTTCTATCCTTAGGGTTGTGATTGGTGCTTTGCAGAGTCTGATTTATATGACTTTGTTTTATAGTGAATTTGTTTACTCTGTCTACAAGAACAAGATGTCTGACGCGTCGTTACACCTGTGTCACCAGGAAGTTCTTGTAGTAAGCTGCTGTCATTGTTATTCCATACACATGGACCCTCCTGATATCATTATCTAATATTAATATTGGTGTTGATTCATCAATTGCTAATTATCGATGTTCGTGAAATAAAGCGGCGTCCTGTGGCATAGTGTTAGGTGGTTATATATTGCATACTTTCATCTTTCTACAACCGCATATCTTTCAAAATTGAAATTGTAGAAATTCGTAACTTAAGTAGCATCTGTCGTCTGTCCTCCATTCAATGCATTGCTGATCAGTAGTTGTTACTCGTCCTCTTTGAAATTATTACATCTACCCCGCAATTGTCGGATATGCAATGACATTCGGTGTTGTGAATACATGTTTTTCCCGAATCAAGGACAATTTTGAGATTTAATTGCTTTAAATTTCCTTATTGTAAAGGTAAAGGCGGTTGCCAGTTACTTATATCCTAGGCCTCTTATAATCTGATTTTCAACTTATCTAGTTTATAGGTTATAGAAGAGTTCCGTGCGTGCAACATGAAGTAGAAGGCCTTCCGAAGTTCAATAAATAATGCGATTGACGTCGTTGGTAATGATCTTCATTAAAACAAACTTTAAAAGATTGTTTTTCAAGTGTTTTCCAAAAATCTTCTTCTTCGCAGCAATTAGATTAGATGGAAATAGAAGTGCAGAGAACAAAATAGAAATGCAGAGGACTATAAGGCGTTTTCTAGTTTTGGATATAAAAGTTGAATATTTCTCTAAGATAAGAGTGGGTATAGTCGAGATACAATATCTTTACTATTTCCTGCCTTATCCAAAACCTGTATTTGCTCACTGTTAAGAATGGAGAAGTATTCTTCCTCCTACAAAAGAGCATCTTCAAGGTGTTTTCCATCTCGGGCTGCTAATCAACCTAAACAATCTACAAAACTAACATCGGCATTGTTATCAAAAGCAATCTCAAATGAGACAATACTATACCTCAACAATTCAACCCAGAAGAAATCACAATGCTTTGAAAACAATCTCAGCACAAATGGACAACTATCCATCACAGAAATCGATTAAGAAGCCCTGAGCTGGTAAACGGCTGAAGCTCAGTTTGGCTGCAAAGACCAGAAGAAATGAACAACTAATTCAAAAATGTAACAGAAGAAGACAATGAAACTATAGAAACAAATTGAAACGAAAAGATAATCAAATAACACACCACCCATAATGAAGTTACGATATACAACGTTAGAATGCTTCAACATATACAGACTCTGATGGAAAAAATCACAAATAATTATACCGTGAAAACAACTACCGAAATAGTTAAAATCCAACCTTTCGAGATTCTGCTCAAGGAGTTGGACAACAAGAGCACCCAATACCACACCTTCAAATGAGAAGACATTTAGAGGAGAACTCCATCATGAAACGGAAACTGATAAAATAAAACCAGCTCTCTCAAACCTTGGACACGAAACAGTAAATATATATATATATTATAAAGCACAGAGTCAGGAAGGTACCTCGTCTCCTAAGAATTATTTTGNAAGTATACTTTTCTCCATCACCTTTAATTTTTGAGTTATGATCTATTTTAATACCAAAAGTACTCAATTTTAACATTTTGGTGATTTTTTCTTTATCACTAGAAAATCATTATACCTAAACTTAATTTGTTTATGGATGATGTTTTTTTAGTTTATATTAAACAATTTATTCCTAAAAAACTTTTCTCCATCACCTTTCATCCTTGAGTTATGATCAATTTTAATACCAAAAGTACTCAATTTTGGTATTTCGGTGATTTTCTCTTTATCATTACAAAATCATTATAACTAAACCAAATCGGTTTATGAGTAATGTCCTTTTAGTTCATAATAAACAATTTATTTCAAATAAACTTTTCTCCGTCACCTTTAATTTTTGAGTTATGATCTATTTTAATACCAAAAGTACTCAATTTTGACATTATGGGGATTTTCTCTTTATCACTAGAAAATCATTACATCTAAACAAAATCTGTTTATCAATAATATCTTTTTAGTTCACAATAAACAAATTATTCCTA